ACCGAAAAGAAATAAATGAATATATTGGGTTAAATAAAATTAATATATCTTTTATAGGTATTTTTATAAATGTATTTCTTACCTCCAAAGTTAAAATTCCCCATTAAATCCTTCACTCCTTTCTTTTCCTGCTTACCTTTCCTCCTTTCCCTCTTCCCTTCTTCTTTTTTCCCATTTTCTTTCCCATTTTTTGTTCTATGTTTTACCACTTAATGAAGCTACCCGAGAAGTGTAGTTCTCAACTTGCCCATCCTGCTTTCGTCCCCTGAAACTACATGACCATGATCTCGAAGATGAACAAAAAGCGAGAATGGAAAATAGAAAGAAATGCCCGGTTTAATATAGATATGTATTTATTAATTAAATTTTAACTTTGATTAAATCTCAACCCTAGGATTAAATAACATAGCTTCATGCTCCTGTAAGTGGAATTCTTGATTGCTACATTGCCGGATTGTTTAATATGGATTATTTATATAATTAATTAAGATTATCTAATTTATTATTTAAAATTTTTTAAATCAAAACGTCTTCATAATTTATATATATTGCTAGATATCGATTTGATCATTATAAAATTTAGAATCTTATAAAAATACTTTTGATATATTTCGGGAGTAGCAAAAAATTATGGATATTTTAAAATGCACATAATTTTCTTATTTTGGTCTTTTCGGGTATTACATGTGCGCCTCAACATGCCTGACACTAGGCGTAAGCCTCATTGCATTTTTTTCAGAAAAAGCAAGGAGGCATACCTCATATTGCATAATTTTTAACATGGGCTGTTGCACTACTCGAATTCCCTCTTCCACCTTCAAAACTTCCATTGAATTCTTTATTAGAAAATTCTTTTGCGGCAAGGAGAATTGGTTCAGAACAAAAAAGCCCAAACATGAAGATATTGTGAGTTTGCTTGTTATAAGTTTATGTGCTACGTTAATTTGTAACAAGAAGATCACAATTCTTTATGTATATATGTATTTGACACATAAACGTTAATTTTTTTATTGCACCTTATACATACGATGGTGTGTGAGTAGTAATGGTAATTTGATGTGATATGAAAAATTTGAGTGTTACAAATGTAAAAATGAAAGTTTAGATGTTAGATATAAGAATTCATCAGATTAATTGTATGTATGTAATTTTCCCTTTATAATATTAAATTTGTTTGAAAAGTCTTTATGCATTTCATATGTAAAGGAGCTATTATGTTTGCCATTTTGAATTATGTAAGGTCTTACGTAAAAGTTGCCTTCCCTGCATAATGCATAAGAGCTTCAAGGTTCTTACGTTTTGAGTTTTCTAGCATTTTTGTGGCTTCTTATTTCCAATCATTGTGAATATAGAAAGGAATCATGGCTAGGATTAAGGAGGCCTCTTGTTTTGTTTTAGGAGCTTCACTTTTCTATGTAGTTGAGCTTTTATCTCTTTTTTTTTTCCGCAATTCAAGCTACTACTTTGTTCTCTATCACCAATACGATAAACCTTTCTTTGTCAATAGTCTCTTTTCAACCTAAATTCATTCTCCTATTCTATTTCTACATTTCTCTCTATGCAAAGCTAATTAAATACTGACAATTAGGGATTGATTTCAGGGAGAAATTAATAATCCCAAATCAATTTGAGAAAATAATACCGAGTAAGGATAATACACTACAAGGCCTCTACAACAATGCTTTTTTTTATTTTTTTATTTTGTTAGATAATAACCAAAAACACGACTAATGTAAGAATGCCATGCTTTTATAATTGCCTAAGTGAGTCAATTGTAATTCCCATTGAATTTTTAATAAGTATCGAAATGACTTCTTAGTAAGCTCATTTTCCTTCTTTCTCAGGAATATTTGCATCATATAATAATGATATACAGATTTATAGAGATAACTCTTAAATTTTATTATATACAGCCTTTTTTTTACTCTTTTTCTCTTACTCTCACATATTGAGGAAATTTATCTGTTTCTAGATTGCAATGGTAGGAGACCAATGTTTTGACTTTAATGAACTTCATTATATTCATGTTGAAATCCATTTCATAATCTACAAAAAACCATACCCGTGAAATTGCTTGTAGGTTTTTGTCTACTTTTGCGAGAATTTGAAGGTTTATCACACAAACCAAACAAACCATTTTATGTTATTTTGATCCCTTTATTTTCCAATTGATATAAAACTTGTATTTTGTTAAATTTGATGTTCTTATTGCACCATTTTATATTTATTTATATATCATTTACATTTTGATAGCCGACATCACCCCATTTCATAAGAAATACACTTCCATTTATTCCTCTCAAAACTCTCACTGATAAAGTAGTGCATTGAATATTATCAAATTCTTCAGTTTTCTCATTATGAAAATCAGTGTTATCAAACCGCAAAGCGCTATACGATGCTCAAGACTTTAGTGTTACTTCAGATTGCAAAACACCGAGCAATATAATATTTTTATCAGCTAAAGTGCTAATAGGTTTTATAAAAATATTAATGTATACACAATTATAAAATATAAAATATGATTTGATTGTTGATATAAAATAGAAAAGAATACGGTGCAATACCTAACTTGAAGGCAAATATTGAGGATGACCTTGCACATTAAAATTTCAAACAATTTCTAATAATTTTATGAATAATTAAAAACTTTAAAATTATATTAAAAAAAATCTTGTAACTCAAAATAAAATCTTGCATGTTAAAATAAAATTGAAATTTTAAAGCATAAATAAACTAATGGCTTCAATGTTTCAAGTTTCATAAAACAAGCTAAATTAATTTTGTACTCCTTTATTCTCTCTTGCTAAATTGTGAACCTGACCGATCACTTTGCTTCAACGCTTCAAATCGTGTTTCAGCGAAGTGAACTCTGCATCACATGCTTCGCTTCGCCTTGCACATGAAGCATGCTTTTACAAACACTGATGAAAATAATGTTTCATATTCTTTTTCTGGTGTTTATCATGCATATGAATTCATGATCATGATAAGGAATTTAGATGATGTGATTTTGTTCTAGAGTGATTATAATTTTTATTCTTAACTATTGACATGTAGGAAGTGTTGTTCATGGAATTCATTGTTTTACTGCAGAAATTCAAAGAAGAAATATGTTCGTCCGCGCATTTCTATGATGCCTATTGGTACTCCAAGAGTGCCTTACAGAACGCCAGGTGAAGGAACTTGGCAGTGGGTTGATCTCTGGAATGCTCTTGTAAGAAAAATAAAATTTACATTTTAAAGATAGGGCTTTGGATTTGTTTGCTTTAATTTTGCATATGCCACTTAACAAGGATATCATTAATTTAATCTTTTTATATGCAGTATCGAGAACGTGTAATTTTTATTGGGCAGCATATAGATGAAGAATTTAGCAACCAGGTGTTGGCAACTATGTTGTACCTTGACAGCATTGACGACTCAAAGAAGATGCATCTGTACATCAATGGCCCGGGTGGAGACGTAAGCCATTCATTATGGTTTTTTTGAGTAAAATATTTCCTTCGTTTTTGTTTTCTTATTGGTCTTTTATTGCTAAAAACCCCCTGCCCAATAAATGCTTATAATACCATGATTCTGTCAATCAATGTAGCTTGATCTCCATTATGTTCTTATAATATAACTGCTAATGAGTGTATGACACAATGTGGTAAATCTAGTCAACGCTCGTGCAACACTATAAGAGCCATCAACTTTGATTTGTGGGTTATTTTACACTAAATTTAAATGTATAATCTTCGACATTATATGAAAGAAGGATTAAGTTTTATGCGCGACATTGTAGTCTGTGAAAGAGTCATTGAAACTAGAAGATATACCAATACTTTGACTTCAAACCAACTATTAAATAAAACACAGCTCTGCCCCCAGAAACACGATGACGCGAGCACTTCAACATCGACGACGAAGACGAAACAGGGAATTAGACGTCGCGAGAGATCTCGTGTAGCAGACGCTAGGGGTCGCCATGAGGTGAAACCCTAGCAGAGCGAAACATATATACGACCATTGCACGACACGACTGGGTGCAGGGAGTTGGTGGTTAGTAGGGGAAGAGAAGTGGGGGATGGATTAGTAGATAATCACCACTTTGTTAGAGGGGTACATCCGGAGCACCACCTTAACCGTCAGATACAACTCTCAATGGGAAAACAACATAGTGGCAGTTGTTTTCACAAATTGAAATCAGAAAATAAAATAAGTTGGACCTTAAAACTACAAATAACATATAGATAGAAGCAGGATTGGCGGGAAACAAAAATCGAGAGGGGGAAGTAATTCCTGCCCAATGGAATAGAGAGGAGGGAGCCAATCTAGACTCCTACTGGACCGAGCTTTCTCCTGTTGAGCTGGCTAGGGGCTGTTTCAGCCCAACCTCGCTTCAATCTACCGTGGTTGGGGGAGCTTCAATTTCATTCATCGAAGCTTCTTGTAACACAACGTCAAGTCCTCTGACACGTCGATCAAGTAGACATTGTCGTTTCAAAGCACATTCTGATAGAAGAGATGTCATCCTACCTTTAGTACAACTTGAGTTGAAACTGTATAAAAATGAGTATTACCCCGAATTAGGTATCGTGCCATCCCAATTGTAATATGTTTTTTCCACTCATACTCAGCTGAGTGTTGCAGATAAAATGTTATATGGGGAGAGATCAGCTCGAGTCTGAAATCTATGATAAATTATCGCTCTAGCTAGCACCCACTCTGGAGTGACCCCTTCTTCACTGATACGGTCCCATTGTAGTATTTTCGTCCTCATCAAGCTCATCAGGCTCATTCCAAGGCTTGGTTCATCACTCTTGGATAGACATTTGACAATGTGTCCCATGCTAAACTGAAAATAACCTCCGAATAATTCCACGCAATATTCTCGATATGCCACAAAATAGACCCACTTCTGACATGTTGGACCACCTTCTATAGGGATGCCTCAGGAAAGAGTATACATCTAAAAAATCTGCATTTCTCATCTGTGGTGGTCTTGTATCTAATGTTGGATCCTCAAGCTCACGACCCTTTTGAACATCCAAGGTTTGTTCTGTAGATATTCCTCTCAACGAAGCAAAATGGTAGCTCGAGGCACCACCACTTCACACTTTGCATGAATGCACATTACATTAAGGTCACTGCCCTAGAGAGTAGCTACCATTACTTCGATGGAATCCCTATCTTGGATTCAACTGGAATTGTTGGCTTCTCTTCCTCGTTGGCTGAAAATCGAGAATCCTTTATGAAGTCTGCCTGTTTTTCCTCATCAACTGTGTCATTGCCCAATTTTTCAATAACACCCTGCTCAATGAAACATATCACTCCTCTAGCGGTGCATTGTGATTCAACATGTTTAAATCCGTGGCACTTGTCACACTCCATGACTGTGACGTATTTAGGGATGCGAATTGGTTTCACTTGTTCACCAGTCTGAATCAGCTTGTCCTCTGATGGGGTTGAATTGGGTGTTCTCTTGGGTGTAATCTGACTATTAGATTCTGAGGTTGAACTTTGTTTTTAAGATGTGATGGTTGCTCGGTGTTGTGATCTCTCCACTTCTAAAGCTAGAGTCTGCACCTTCTGTCTGTAGTAAGTTGGTGGGAATTGGTGCTTTGTCTCATGCTTCATCGCAAGTCTCTGCTGAAGTTGGCGGATCTCTCATTGTATCTTCTGCTTAGTAGGCTTGGGCATGTATATCTTCAGTGAAATGGCTAGGTTTTAGGGTTGGGAAGGTGAAATAGGGTAAAAATAATTGGTTTAAGGTTGTTAATTTTGAAAATCAACAAGAGGAATTAAGGTTAGAGATATGTGGTAATGGAAAGAGTATTTGTCGGTCGGAAAGAAATTTTTTAGTTTATGTCGGATGCTACCCTAGGATAAGACTAGGTTAAGCTAGCTCTGATACCAAATGATATCTGAGTTAACTCAAACCACAAATAAAGCAGAATTATTATTGCTGAATTTCAAATGTTACAACCAGGACTCTTGAAAATAGGAAATATTGACAACAAACATAATGACACTAGGACATGTCGACAAAGAACACACAAACATAGACTCTAACTAGGGCTATGAAAGTAGTTAGATCTGAGGGAAGGGTTGCGGTAGCTACTTGGCAGAAGAGGGCGTGCTATTGCAGTGTTTGGGGAGGCTTGTGGAAGGTGGCAGCAGGTATCCTGGGGAGGAGGGATTGTGGGAGGTTGTTGCGATGGTAAAAAGAGGGTTTATGTAGTAGCAATGGAGAGGGCAGGGAGTTATGGCAGTGGGAAAAGGATCTGGAAAGGGGTTACGATAGTGGAAGTGAGAGGAGAGAGGTCTATGATCCAGCAGAGCTGCTGGAGGTTGCTGGTAATACGGAATGGGGGTCGGAGGCAGGGAACGACTGGGCGAGGAAGCTTATGGGAAGGCCGGTGGAAGTGGCCAATCTGTGGAGGTTGTTGGTGGGCTAGAAGGGGGAACAACGACCATTCTGGTGTTAGCAGTAGTGGAGATGTAGCGAGGGGTAGGTAGGGTAGTGGGATCGGCTGGAAATAGGGAATATAACAGGGGGGCGGGGAAGTTGTGGGCTGTAGGAATAGAAACGGGTGCAGGGAGTTGGTGGCCAGTAGGGAA